GTTGCGTATATAAAAAAAACGTACATACTAAAATCGAACATTATTTTGAGTGTGCAAGTTTTGATTTGACAGTTTTGTTCTGCGTAATATTTTGAACAGCTACATTTACGCGCAACAGCTTGCGCGCAAAGTCTATGCAAAAACGATTTGGATCTCAAAATTGTCATTTCGTTCATCGTTTAGTACATAAAATCCCTAATAACATTCTAGTACGTTGAGTTACAGCCGTTACAGGTATATGATACAAAGGCAATCTGGCAGTTTAAGTATTGCTCTTCGACAAACTCAACTTGTAGTTACATTACAACTTGAATACAACGACTGTCGCAGGAACAGCTGTGTAAATGACGCGACTGTTAAATTCCGTAAACGCATTTCCGAAGGGCAAAAAGCGCAGTAAGTACCCCAGGGTGCTTCGCGTGTCTCTCGAGGAGCTTAAAGAGACGGACGGAGTACGCGTCGCGGAAAATAACAGAAGTTACACGGTACGTCTGGATTCGGCGGCCGCATTCATGCAAACTTAAACGTCGAAGAGCTCAGATACGTATTCTTCCCGGCGTCTCGGCGTCGCAATATGCGAGCGAGGGAAGGAGATAAAGCGGGAGAGACGCGCTCGGACATTGCATCGCTGGCATAGGACGTTACCGGTTATCGCGGGAAAGTCCGGGTGAATCGGAGAGAGAAAGGCAGAGATAGAAAGAGAAGATGGGCGAGGAGGGAGACGCGATGTAGAAACTCTCGGGAACCAATCTTCTCTGATGAAAATACCTTGTCCTCTGTGAGGTTTGATACCGCACCCGCGGGGGCCAATTTCGTTCGTTACTTTTTGGAATACCGCGAGTACGTTTGAATTGGACGGGGTCCTTGCGAGGCAGATTCCAGGAGAACATTTTGAAGGTACGTGCGGGGGCGAGCGTGGTCGGCAAAGCGGGGGTAAAGAAGGCGGAAAATGGATTGCCCCCTCAGCGCGTGTCGCTTCCGCGATCGGTTCTCTTGGCGAAAAATATTGGAGCAGCTTAATTAGAGCTCGAAACCACGTGCGAGCGCGATTGCACCAAGAAAAAGCGCTCCCAGGTTAAACTTCCGTCGAGATGGGCGCATTGTCCACCAAAGGAAACGGCTTATTGTGTCTTCCTTAATTGGCGCGATGTGATTTGTACGAAATCTTAACGTGAGGTGGGGGGGAGACTCGATTACGATTTATACGGAGCTGAAATTTTGAGGGTCGCGGTAGATTGCGAGCGCTTGCCATGTTTTCGCGATGGAAAAATGGATCCCGGGCTCGAGGAGGAATATGTCAATAAAAGCATCATCCGTTTACTCTGGGATACCCAGGTATTTGCGGGTTTTATATGGATATTCGACGCGGGGTGTTCCGAGTCGAACATTTTAGAAACACTACGCGCGCTCGGCTATTACTAGAAAGGGTTAGATCGCCTGCGGGGATCAGCCGGGGAATTCCATACTGGTCGTCGGGTCTTCTGGGAATCTGCACTGCGACACTTACATTCTCACTATCCTTATCCCTTTCTATGTCGTTCCGAATCTCTCTCTCTCTCTTTCTCTCTCTCCCCCCGCCTCTTTCCTTCTCTTCTGCGCCCTCTCGCCCTTTCACTATTCCGCTCCAGTCGATAGCGGCGGCGAAGAGAGGCGCCAAAGATGGATTCCGGTATCGGAAGGATCGGGAGTAGAATTTCCCAGGTTATATTCCCGCCGCGAGCTATACGGGATATCCCGAGATTCGAACGTACTTCGGTACCGACTGCTCCAACTGGGGCTTCCATGAAAGTTACACCTCCGTACGATGTGGACTTTATGATCGACCCACACGACGTTATACTCCGCGCCGCGTGCATCCGGGTAAAGAAAGCGCAGAGCGTGGTACCCGGATATTACTCGAAATCGCGAGAGGAAGCAAGCGGAAGCGAGATCACCGCGATGCGCGGTTTTGCCGTCCGCGCGATTACGGCTCGGCTGTCCCCGTCACGGGACACACGCGGGATGGCGTATCTAGGGCAAACCACGGTGGCCATACTTTTTAATTACCAAAAAACATACATTTTTGTCACTTTTTTAATAGCGTTTGACATAGAAGAAAGTCCCCTATTACGAGATAGGCTCCTAATATGGGATAGCGGAGTTTCTGCCAAATTAATAGGCATCGTCTGTTGGTTCCACCATGAGTTTATTGCCCTTGGGGTGAAATCTGTTTAGTGAAAAATTGATCGTTAGATCGTGCAATCGTTGCGAGGAAAGACTCGTGATCGAATTTGGACGTTGAAAATTTACTATCTCATATTCGAGTCCTATCTCAATAGAAGACTTTCCTCTACTATTTCACTGAAGCCTAAACCGTGTAATGCTGTTGACATTAACTGTTTGAAGCATACATTTTTCTATTGAACTTGGGGTCGCTGATTACGCGTCCGTTATCAGATTTTCATAATTCAAATAAAAACTTAAAAACTTCACGTACTTTGCATCCACCATTTTGGGCCGGCCATTTTGAATTTTAAAAAAGACATCAGATTCGTAATGAGCGATCCCGAAAATCCCTTTGTACAAAATTTTCAAGAATTAATCTTAAAAAACTCGGTCAATAATCAATTTTCCCCCCCAAAATTGCTGTTTTTGTCATATTTGTTTATTTATAGAACTTTTACAATAAATATTAAAGATTACTCAACTTTTTATATTTTTTTATTGCTAAGATACCCAAAAAATACAAAAAAACCCAACCTAAATACGTTAACTAGAAATTAAATGGCCAAAAAGTGAAGAAGTTGAGGTGGTACCGTGGGTTACCACCGTGCTTCAAAGGGTTAAAGCGTAAAGAAAAAACCTTTATAGAAAGTTTCTACTTAAAATGTTACAACATGAGCATTGACCACTTTTTCAGATTTACATTGATAGAAAAAATAAAAAAATAGTGACAAAAATAAAAAACAGCTTAACTGTAATTTATTCCACGTTACAGCAGTTTGTAGTGGACACATTTTTAAATGTTGCAGGCAGTCGAAAGTAAAAACATGGTACAATATTCATAAAACTGTTATTTCGAGCGACGTATAACACGTAAATTACGCTAAATATCAGAAATGTATTATTTAGCAATTATCAAAGAAACTACGGCCTTTTCCGCACGGCCCTAATACCCTCCCGGTTTATCCTGCGTAAGAATCCAGATTCGTCGCGTTCGAATTCTGCTCCGAACGAGATCGAGGTCGCGGAGGATCGGGGAAAGCTCGGGATCGCGCGATCCACGTGGCGGAAAAGCCGCGGGCGCGCGCAGGAGGGAAATCGTGACCGCGATTGGCTCATGCATTTTTCAGCGGTCGCGGCATTTGCTTGATCGGACGTTTGCACGACGTCGGGGCGCGCCCTTCGCCGGGCGCCGCGTAAGGCGGACCGGCCACCGCGCGGTGATAAAACGGTCGTACGCGCGAGCGAGCGTGTGCTCGAGTAAGTGGCGCGCACAGAAAGGGACGCGGACCCCCGGTCGCAAGTTCGCGACTGGGGCGGGAGATCGATCGGTGCCGTGCCCTCTCGCGAAATAGAGATCTATAGTACACCTATATCCCTCATGTTCGATCTGATCGTCACGAATCGTTTCTTCGCGGCCGCGGCGGCGGCGGCGCCGCGGTGCGACGTGCGTGTCGAGCTTGATCGATTTCCCGAGCGAAATGTAGCCGCCGCGTTTCTTTCTTTCCCCGGCGCTCGCTTTTCCGATGTCCGCGAGAGCGTAATATGCGCCTTTAAGGCTCCCCTTTAAAGTCGCGGTAAATTAGTTCGCTACGATCTTCCTTTGATTGAAAGGGGACGGCGCGCGCTTGCTCTCTGCGTAAATGTCGTCGCCGCGGCTGTCGCTCTATTGCGCGCCGTATTATTTGTTGTGATCGACATGACGGCGTAATTTGATGTGACATTTAAAGTTATGATCGGGTATGACATTATAAGCCGCGTCTCGTGTTAATTTTATTATTTTTTAAGAGTGTGCGTTTATCTCCCTTAAATTTGAAACAAATATGCGCGTGTGTTTAAAAAAAAACGCTTCCAATCGGATATATTTGTTTTTATATTGCATACATTTAAAATTAAAAGTCAGACGAAATGGCAGCATTTGAAAATATATCGAAAGCCATGCAGAGTGGTCGCAATATAAAAATGGGGAATAAATTCGTATGAAACTGGTTGATTAAAGTGGAGCTCGGAAAGAATTAGGGGTTTTTAATTTACTCTCTGTCCGATCTTTTTGAATTTAATAACCGTTTATACCCTTGAAACAACGGCCAGTGTCGTTTATAATATAGAAAGAACGTCTTTCTCGTACTGGATAATTTTTTAGAAAAAGTTTTTAAAGTTTGCAACTCTGACGTTTGTACTCTGTAGACTGCGTTTTTTCTATCTGCTCTCTCTTTACGGTTGGAACCATTTAAAGATTCGCGCGTCTATCTTGAAAGAGGATTATTTTCGTCGTGACAATTACGTTGATTCCGCGATTTCCGTTTCACGCTCACTAGAATTTATCGGGTGTTCTAATTTTCTTTCGCGCTTGACCAATTCGTACTCTACTGTACTTAATGTTTTTAAAAATAACTTCTTAACTAATTTATTGCCACTTTTGTTTTCATTTTAGTTGTATCAGATCACTAAAGAAGACCCAGATATGGGTCGAAACGTTCGAACGGAAGAACATATTTGCCACGTTTCAAACCACGCACTGTGTCCCGCGTTTATTGGCTCACCTTGGCTCCCCCTCATCGATTCTTTATCTTTTTTGGAGCCTTCGCCACTCTTCTTGTCTGACGTAATTGTAATTTTCTACGGATTGTGCTTGAAAGGGATCCCAAGTCAAAGGTCGAAGCGTCGCACTTTTAGTTTGTAATAAATTTCGGCCAGTTAAGATCGACAAGAAACTCCCTCATTGTTAAAGAACGAACCGTTGAACCCTTTATATTCAGAGTGCACGGTGGATTAAATTCTTCTAGGTCGGTACTCACCAATGACGGTCAAGTTATACCGGAAGCTGCGCGTCTGGCCCTTCCGGAAATCCACTCTACATCTGTACGTCGCCGCGTCGTGCCGCTTTATGTCGTCGATCACCAGAACCGCCGGGCTCGGGAAGGACGTTCGGAAAAAGGCGCGTGGACCGAAAACGCCGGAGTCCGACGAGTGCTGCGCCTTCGTCACTGGCTTCTCTCGCGCGTCGATTCTGTTACAAGAAGAAAATCTGTTTTAGCCACTTTGAACTTAATCCCTAGAGATGTTTCATATACCTACGTATAATACAAGTCGATTGAGAACTCAAGAACTCGTCAGGGGGCTAACAGAACTTCAATCCTTTTTCGTAAATTTTAAAAGTGAGGGGGCCAACTTTACAGACGTCGCGGAACACCCGCCTCGCTCGACTGCGCCGCGCCGAATGATTTGGCACAATGAGATGTTTTCGACCGAGGTCTTTACGGCGCTACGTCATTTCGTGGAATCAGCGCTCGGCGAAACAATAGATGACGCCGTACGCAAGGTCATTCACGTGGCGTTCGGCTGAACGAGTCGGTTAGCGGCCCGCTCCGCTTATCATATTCTTTCTCGCGACAAGTACGGGAAGAAGTCGCGACCGCTCTCTACGAATAATCAACGTTTCGTATTAACTAACCGTCGAAGCAGATATCTCGCGCAATTGTCATTTGAGGTCTGTAGATTTGAGAATCGAAGCGCTAGTGAGGTCCTTTCATTGCAATAATTGCGGACGATAGTTGCTCTTTACGACGCTCGTATTTGGACTCGTCTCGCGTCGTCGCTTTGGATCTTTCGTCGTTTCACGTGAAAGTTGCTAGCCGTTTCTAGGCGAGAACGCGAGATGACACGTGGAGTATTGAATCGAGTGCTTTGAGCATTGTGACGCGATATCGATACTTTATTAATACTTTACAGTTTATTAATATTAATAATGAAAATGTATTTTACGGGATTTATAGTTGAAAATACACGCGCGACATTAAATTTCTGATTCGGACAGTCGAGTGCATCTTGTTTAACCGTCAACTCAGCTGATGTATCATATTGTAGAGTATCGATGCTAAAATGTTTTGTCATAAATATAGTCTTCGCAGTGAAACATACCGTTTTAATCCATCGAATAATAAATGATATATGCGGAACATAATCGAAACTTTACTGCACAGCCATAAAATGTTTCTGATAATATAAAATCTCTGTGAGGGAAAATGCGAATTTATAGGAACCTTAATTCCTGTGTTTTATTTACGGCGTATAACATATAAAAGGTGCAAATTGAAAATTTGCACATTGCTTCCTCATCATCTGGGCAAGTTAATTTTCAATTTTAAAGGGGCAAATTGAAAATTTGCGCATTACCTCGTCACCGTCTGGGCAAGTTGTTATTTTCAATTTCGGCTTCCTCACAGAGGAAGCTTCGTAAGTCAAGGTACAAATTGAAAACTGCTTCTACGAGGGAGCAATATTCCAGATACCACATGGTCCATATGTTTCTTAAATGTATCTTATACTTCGGGAACGTTTAAGAAACGTTATAGGAAGCCAATGTGTTCTACTTAGGGGACATTTCTTCTATCAAATCCCCTCACCTTAAGATTAATTTTCTTACCCGATTTAGTCAACTCGCAATTACGTTTACAATTGGTGTACGCGTTATTCGCCGCCAGATCGATCCTGTTCAAATTTCCAAGTCCGCGTGTAATTGTCTTTCCGCTTGTGTTCTATTCTTCAAGTCCGCTGCAGCGCCATTGTGCGCGCGGGTTTCTTTTTCTTCCGCGCGATTGTAAGACAATTACCAGGGGCTTCGAGAATTCACGGCACGATCGGTGGTGTTTCGATATGCACATAGAAAACGATCGCACAATTTCCGGCCAATGGAATTCCAAGCTCACGCAAGGAGACCCCGCCGAGCGACGGACAATGGGGCTCGCGACGCGGAGTCGGACGGGGCGAAAAGGGACGCGGGAGGGGAAAAAAAATCTGCATTGCAATTCACTGACCGCCCCGGCAAACTGCGATAGTACGTATCGAAGTATTGCCCGCTTACGAGCCCAATATAATTATTTCAAATCGATGGTATAATTATCGTGCGCGGCGCGGAGAATGGGACGCTCTCTCGGTGTGTACAGGTAGCGATACGGCGATAACGCAATTAAATCGCGGCCATGTTATCCGATATTTTGAGCGGACACCGCTCATTTTCATCGATATCGCGTAGATACTAGAGGCCAGCCGAAGAAAAAGGGCCGATACGCGCGCGATCGAATTGAATCGAGTCGAGTCGAACCGCGCCGGCTGATTACAATGGAAAATTGGAAAATATAATCATACCGCGCCGCTCGTGGTAATCTACGGCATTTACGTTATATTACGGTCTAACGCGCGCGGAAAATATACGCGGGCGAGTCGCGAAACTGAGCGATCGCTGATGCGCGACACGGGCGATTGAAGCAAGTTTCGATAGACCCGGAAAAAATATTTAGTTATTATACAAATGAGACACGTTGAATCGATCACGTTTCCTTGAATCTACTAAATTTTTTATTACTTGTACTAAAATATTTGCTGAATTTGACGAACTAGATATGAATTGTCGAGATTTCAGTCTCGATCGAATAAAATTTTGGCCACGGTAAAGAAATCATTTCTTTGTAGTTAAATCAAAGTCTAGTAAGGTGAAAATTGAAAGGAAATATGTTTCCCTCTTTCGGCAGGACTTAAATTTGACATGAAGACGATAAGGAGATTCGCGGGCGAGTGTAACGACAGTGGCATAGGTGCGCGAAATAAATTTGCGAAACGGCGGAAATCAAAGAAAGGAACGGGGAGCGAGGTGAAGCCGGGGGGGAATAAAGAGAAATATTCGCAGTTGATTTTTGCCGTTCTGTGTTTCGCAGTGACTCTGAAATGAGATTTTACGAGTGCGCGTTCAGCGATTCCCGTTTGACATTAACTGCAATTATATGCACGTGTAATATAGTAACTATATATTAATGGGAACGTAAAATTTCCCGGTGGCGCAATATCGGATCTCGTTTGACGTAAATATAATGTCAAAAGCTTCCTGCCGGTGAAATTACGTATTTTATTAACAAAAGTGGCGACATACACGTTACGAAATTCGCGATCAGTGCGGAAGAAAAGTTATTATTATTATTAATTTCACACACGCGCGCAATTCAGCAGATGGCATTGCTGAATCCATATCGCCTGAAAATTCGTCACAGTGAATAATGCATTATGACGACGTAATGATTTAATAAAAGGACATTTCCTCGTGACAAAGATCAGATCCAACGTACCGCAATTATGTCTCCGTAAAACACTGCGACGTTAATTGCCACGTCATGTCTCCTGACGTGGAACAATTCACGCGATCCGAATGCGTTTGTATCGTGTCTAAAGGCCTGCGTCTACGATGCTGGAACTAGTACAGCTAATATGCCCACTCTCTGTCGGCCCTTTGATCTTTTCGGTTTAGATCACGCGGCATTCCGCCATGTTTTTGGTATAAAATCCTGTCACACTGATTTCACACTACCGCATATACAACATCCGTCTCATTAGATTCACCCAAAAAATGGTGGTTGCGCAGAAAGGATCGGCGCAAGACAAAACAGCTGACAGAGTGGACATACTAGTTATACTATGATTCAAGTTCTAGTTTCGCTTTTATGGAACAGCTACAAGTTGATTGGCTACGCATTTCTCGGAACTAGAACTCGGACCAAGTTCCAGAGGGGATGCTGGAGTGGTTTGATTTGCCGACAGAGTCGCATACAGTTTTTGCATTTGTAAATCTTATAGACTTTTATGTACAAAATAATACCAGACTGTGAACTGCACAGTAAAGCATTTTCATATAAAAAACATTGAGGTTTGAAGTCTAATTCGTATCGCGCTATGTCTTTGAAATTTTCTAACTATCCCGTCGGAGTTCAGCCGTCACTCCAGCATCCCCTTAACAATAAGTTGAGAAAAAAGAGCACGCGTCGCGCCCGCGTCGTACCCTCTTCTCGCCTTGGATGCTGCTCGCGAGGCTCACGCGTGCCGACGCAAGAGCCTTCGTCTCGCTCTCTACCCCCTGAATCCCGCGCGAACCGAGGGAGACGCGGCGGATGTGGCCGAGAAGTGCGGCGGGAACGGAAGAGACGACGGGGATGAAAGGCGCGGGGGATTCGCGGCCGAGAGATGCAATAAGGAAATGCGTATCCTTCGTCTTCCCTTTATGCGCCGGCAGGACCATTCCCTTATCCTACGACGGGCGGTTCTCGAGAAGCACTCCCGCTCCAAGAGTTCTCGATTCACGTCGATGCGGGGGCGCCGGGTAATACGGAATCGATGTCTGTTTTATGAAACGTTTTATCTCGCCGCGCAGCCAGCTTTCCAATATTTCGCCCGACTCTCGCCCGCCTCGTTCACGACCTTTCTCTTCGGAACTATCGTTCTCCATCTCCCCGCCGTTATTCCCTCTCGCTTCATCACGTCGGCCCGTTTCTTCCCCACTCCCCTGCCCCCGTACGGCCGCGTTCCGCTTCGATTATCTTCCCGGGAATGATAGATACTTTTTAAACCAGTGGTACCGTGCCGCTGGGCTGCACGTCCCCTCGAGACGTGCAAGTCGTTGCGGCGGATTTTTTAAAAATTCAGAGCGCCGATGCGTCTCGGTATCGACGTAATTTTCGACGCTCCGGGGTGAAAAGACAGGTGTTTTTCATGTAGTCGCGACGGCATTTTGATAATCCGACAAACGTCAGAGGGAAAAGAACCGCTGCTTTAAAAATGAATGGCTGCAATAAACAACCGCAAGTGGTGAGTACCTGCAGAGCTGTCGAGAGCCCGCGAGCGGTCGATCTTCTTTTTTTCTAGACGCTAATAGATTTCATTCGCGACGCGGTATTGAGCGAAAAAAAAGAGAGAGAGAGAGAGACACGACGAATCGTCCGTTTTTAATCTGACTTTCCGAGGTCGCGCACAACCGGAAACGCGGTCACCTCGCAGTCGGGTCGAATAATTTCGGGACACCGCGGCAAGGGGGTAACCACTTGATGTAATCATGGGACAGTGTCTCCGAAATCATTATGAAATCCTTACGAAATCTCCATGCAATCGTTTTGCCTTTATTTTCAAGTTTCTTCACTTGTTGGACAATGAACATTCCAAATTTTATTCGACCACAGCTGGCCACATTTGTTAGTTTCTCTGTCAATGCAGACAATTTATTGCGAAAAATACATATTACCTCAGCCAGGGTTTGAACCTGGACTTTCCTACACCCTAGACGGGCGTTTCACCGATTCGACCACCGAGGCATATGATAATATTTGTCGCAATAACAGTACAAAGATGTTGTCTACGCGGCTATTTTTCGCAATAAATTATCTGCACTGACAGAGAAATTAACAAATGTGGCCAGCTTTGGTAGAATAAAATTTGAAATTTTAGTACTATACTGGCAATTTGAAGAAACTAATCAATGAACATTAAATTTGAACATTTTCTCAACTTATTTTTATTTTCCCCTCCAAAAATTACTTCTTTTAGTGAATACCCAAATATATATAATAGTTCACGCCTATAAGCGCGTATTATTATTTTCATAATAAGACCGAAGTAGTTGCTGTTAGGACAGTAAGTTGATACACCTTTGCGTGCAAATTTAGAACAATAAACAGTAGATAGATACAAATATAAAATTACTTCTCGTCAAGACCACGGTTAGACTGTTGGGAAAAGTGGGAAGTGAGGAAACGTGTTTTCTACCTAACTCGAATGCTACAATCTTAATTGAAATTACCTCTACAAGCAAATACTTGCCAGTAAAGCCAAAAAGATGTAATGTTTCGAGGAAATCTATACAACTCTTAACGACGTCGCCTATTTTTAAACGCGCATGTAAGAAAATTATTTGCAATTAGACAAAATTATTTGTAATGAGATAAAATCCTGTGAGATCTAATGAAATCATGTAATCGGTGGGACAACATTTTAGCTAGTGATTACCCTCTTGCACCGCGGTTAAAGTCATTTTCAATATTCCGCGCCCTAATCCACCGGTTTCTCCTCCCCCCCCCCTCCCCCGCCGACGATGCGCCCTCGTAAAAATGATGAATGTCCGGCGAGCAAAGGGTAAATGGCGTCGCGAACGAACGTACGGCGAGGCGTTTCCCTTTTGCATGGCGTACAAGAAAATTATACGTCTCTAAATATTTATTGGCGCATTAATTTTGCGACGTGCCTTTAACCCGCGCATTGCCACCCTCCTCCGCCGCGTGACACGTGGGGGTGGAGGGGAGGAGGAGGAGGAGGGCGGCGCGCAATAATTTCGTCGCGCCACGTTGTTTACCGTGGCGCGCCCCCCCGGGATAAAGTCGCCGGGAACGAACCTCTTTTTACAGTTTTCTAGATTACATGAATTTCGAGAGAGCGGCTGAGTGCTTTTTAATATTTCGCCTCACTTTTGCCCGCGCGCGCGCGATCTCTACCCTTCTTCTTCTTCTTCCTTTGCATACGCCGACCCCCCCCCCCTCAACCCCGTCCCACCCCCTCTCGGTCGCGGTCTTTTATAACGAAAATAACACGCGTGCCCTTGGGGCAAAGGGTAAATAGCAAGAGAATAAATGCATGGCACCCGTTTTACGGGTATGTGCAATAAAATTCTTTTTCTTCCTTTAACACGCCCTCCCATCCTCTTCCCCGCAGCCGTACGTTAATTCTCCACGTTTCTGCGAAAAATCGCATTCACGGCGTATCGCGATCAGCCGGCGAAATTATCTAGAACTCGCGCGGCGCTTTTATACTCGTCTTTATCAAGTTGTCGCGGCCGTTACGTTAACATAGTAATAAACAGCTGTAATATTCATGAGAGCCTTGTTTACGCGTTCGTACCTGGACGCGTTGTGTATATTGCGCCGCTTTAATAAATCTTTCAAAGCAGGCTTACGTCGAGTCGCAAATTCACGGGGGCAAAAGGTTTCTTTATCTCGCGCCACTCCAACTCTTCTTACGGCGGTCCCTGCACGAATAATATCACGGACGGAATGTATTCCATTGATAATCGGAGCATCGTTAAAGCGACAGGACGTGTCTGACGTACCCGGGTTTAATATGCAGACAGTAAACAGTTGCCGTGTGTATTTAAAATAAAAGCGCGGAGATGGACCGAAACTGTTTTTAGGAGCTGCAGGGTTTTAAAAATTCCGAAATATCGCAGATCTTTTCATTTTCCGCTGGTCCGAAGTTAGAAAAATGGTGGTGTAGATTAATACGTTGTACGTAAACCGTGAAAAGTTACAAAACGCACTCGCGATTTTAAACCCGACTTTCGTTCCCCAAATATTTTTTAAAGCCACAACAACCTGGTTCATTTGAGCAATGTTAAATTTTAGAACAACAACTTTAATAACGCATCGCATCAGACCTCCTATTCTTATCCTTTTTCCCTAAGTGATAATGAAAAAAAAAAGGAAAGACATTTTTCGGGGGAAAAATGAATTTATCCAGCAATGCTTTCGGGAATTCAAAATTGGCCCGTGCAATATCTTTATGTTAATAAAATTGTACTGCAAATATATCAATAACAATAAATTAATTATAATATTAATCGAACACGTTCGCGCATTTAATAACGTTAAATTATCCAGCAATACTTTCAAGAATTTTAAATTAATTCATGCATTATCTCCAGAATTAGTAAAATCCTCTTTAAAAATGTACAAACACTGCAGATTTTCATAGAAAAACAAACGTATGTAATACATAAAAATAACCAATATTTAATAATAAGTGAATTCGACCATTGGTGAATGACACAAACAGTAACGCAGTTTTACGGTCAAGTCGTCGTCTTGCCCAGTTATATTTTTTTCTCACGCGCGCACCTTTTCACCAACAATTTACTTATATCCTCAATTCGATTCGCGCGTTTAAAAAACTGCCGCGAGCACAGGTGCATCGTGCCGAAACTTATTAATTGAAAGGTGACGAACATAACAGAATTGAATCATGTGCACCTAAAGTTATGGAAATCGTCTGCGACGACACTCGTTAGGGCGTTCTTGTTTGATCTTATCCGAGCGTTTTATTAGAGCGCGGTTTGCCAGCGTTGCAAATATTCTTCAAATTTATACCTGCGTTTTAGCTTCCTCGCGCCAAAAGGTTACGCGCGGTTTTCTTAAGGATCGCCTACAACGGATGAAGCCTGGCGTAAGAGTAGGCGTAAGGAAACGAATCATTTCCATTTCTTACTCCTGCTTCAGCTCTGACGCTTACTCTCGGCGAATTCGAGCGCAGTTCGACCAGTGCTACAAATATTTAAAATTAAAGTTATGCCTGTACTTTAGCTTCCACACTGAAAGGTCAAGGTGAGGCTAGGCTTTCTTACGTCTTACCGCTTGCTTCCAATGTAGACGGTCCTTTACGCTTCACTCCAGGCTACAGACCGGCCCACGGTGTAAAAAGAAAGGTAAGCCGTTGCGCACAGTGGCAGACGCGGAGGTTCTAAAGGCTGATGGCAGAGAACAATCCGTAAACGCTTAAGACTGTCTCAATCGTAGACGTAGGGCAAGGCAGAGAGAAACGTAAGTCGTATACAGTAGCTTTTCACGACTTCACGACAGAATCGTTTCCGATCGTCCGGTCGTGGCGCGGCGGCGCAAGCGAATTATAAAATAATTTTATTTCCAACGTCTGCGCCTGCGCTCTTGCGCCGTGCCTTACGCCTCGGTGCGTAGACGAGGCTTTGGCTGATGGCAGAGAACGATCCGTAAACGCTTAAGACTGTCTCAGTCGTAGACGTAGGGCTAGGCAGAGAGGAACGTAAGTCGCGAAAGGCTATTGTATACGACTTACGTTTCTCTCTGCCTAGCCCTACGTCCACGACTACGTCAGTCTTAAGCGGATACGTTCTCTGCCGTCAGCCTTCGTCGCGTCGTCGCCGCCGCGTTGCCGCGCTCGCTCGACGCGAGAGTAAATAACAAGCGGAGCAAAATGTGTACATACCGACCGCCGCCGTCCGCTGTTGGCCGTGACCGCGAGAGCGAACCGCAGAGCGAAACCGCGAAAAAACACCGGGGGCCACTCGAACGTGCAATGGCCGCGAAACACTCGGAGCGCGCGCCCCCTCGCGCCGCGCCGCGCCGCGCCCTCGGTAATTCGCGTCGCATGGAATCATGGTCGTGTCATGGCGGCGCGCGTCTACTTGGCGGCGGTACGTCGCGCGCCTCGCGCCCGTGGAAGGATCGTCGTACAGCGTCGCCGTCGAGGGGATACGCGTCGGGTAAGGATCATCGCTACGACGCGTCGTCGTGCGCGGCGACGGGCGAATTCGGTAACGCAAGCTCGGCGCGTACGCGGGTCCGCGAGATTCGCGACAACGGCGTCGCCGGTCACCGCTGTCGAGAGGGAAGGTTCGTGGCGGCGTAAGCGCGGGAAAGCGCCGGACCGATCGGCAGGATAGCGAGATCGCGTTGGAGTTGGACGAGAGAGACTCGTCGCGAGATAACGTGAGCGCGCGTGTGCGGCGACGGGCAAATTCGGTTACGCAAGCTCGGCGCGTACGCGGGTCCGCGAGATTCGCGACAACGGCGTCGCCGGTTACCGCTGTCGAGAGGGAAAGTTCGTGGCGGCGTAAGCGCGGGAAAGCCGGGCCGATCGGTAGGATAGCGAGAGGAGCGAAGGGCGCGAGATCGCGTTGGAGTTGGGCGAGAGAGAGACTTGTCGCGATAACGTGAGTGCGCGTGCGCGCGCGGGAAAGCTAGGCGGGAAAACGGCGCCGAGACGCGGCGGCGAGGGAAGTGCGAGAGAGAGAGAGATAGAGCGCGCGGGATCGTTTCTTCGCGAGGTTAATAAGACACTTTCCTCCGCCCGCCTTTTTCTCCGTGAAGCATCTTTATTAATTGTATTAATGTTAATTGATTTCTGTCCACAGGCGGAGTCGCAAACGCGACGCGGTGGAGCTTGGTTCAGCAAGAGGACCGGGAATTCTTCACCTCGTGTCCCGGCGCGACGCGAGACCCCGGACCGTGTCTACAGGGTCTACAGGTAAGTGCGGGAAGTCCAGAAGACATTTCTTTATGGCAATGGAGTCTCGATTTATGACGGACCCATATAACGGCTTTGACATGATAATTAGAGGCGTCGCCTATTACGAGACACTCCTAATATGAGATAGCGAGGTTTCGACACATTCAATTTTATAAATCTTTTTGCGCAACAATTACATGCGCGATCTAATGGATTTTCCACTAAACAGACTCCGCTCCAAGGACAGTAAATTCGTGGTGGAGCCAATAGACAATGCCTGTTAATTTAATAGAAGCCGCGCTATCTCATATTAGAAGCGTATTTTATAATAGGGGACTCTCGTCTATTAATTATACAATAAATTATTAAATCAATAATAATCGAGCAATTTTAAAAAATTAGAAATTAGAAAAAGTAAAAAGTGTTCAACTTGACGTAGGAGTTTTATTGTAAAAGAAAGCGTGTAAAGTTAAACATGTGCCACAGAAATTAGGGCTGATTGAGAAATTGGCAAAATCTTCGAACGCATTGTTAAAAAAATATTACATGTTCTTTATTATAATTGAACAATTTTATACCGTACAGCACTGTACATTGTATTAAATCTTCTCTTTACATAGAAAACAATTTAAAAAGTGATAAAACATTATCCTGGGTTACACACTCGATTCAAGCTTAATCTACAATGTGCTTTCTACGTCTAGAAACGTTTTTTTATACACTGATAAAAAATATCTTTATAAAAAAATATTACTTTACTTAAGAAAATTATTCATTAGGTGACTCCTAATAGCTTATTAACTTAAATTTGAAAAATAATAAACAAATTAAAACATGCATTACTTTAATTTAAGTATTTATTAAATATCAAAGAATAGATAATTTTAAATTAAATATATATTGTGCATCAATAAAAAATTTTATTTTAATTCTATAAAATTTTTACTAAGATGTAATTTTCACAGCAAAGAAAATTGGATTTCTTATTTAACAAAAAGTATTCTATATCTCATGAAATCTTTATTTGAAGGTAGACAATGTAATGATTTAAATTAATTTACTTAATATAATACATAGATTTACTTTAAATTTGATATTTTTCTTTAAATAGAATAAATATTTACTTCAGTATACAAAATTTTTTTAAGTAAATCTATTTACTTAGTTAAAACAATTTTTTGTCAGTGTATAAGCGAGTCAAAACGTTTAAAAAATGTGTCGACAATGTACTGTTGTACAATGTATAGTATCCAACTTGCACACACTGTTTAAACGTATTTATTAACTACAAAACAGAATGTTTCTAGACGCAGAGAGCACATTGTGGATTAGGCCAGTGAGAGTCGATTAAATCGCTGGCTGCTTTGCTCTCATTGGCTAGAAGACAATCGCCAATCCAATCCGCGTCGACAATTGCTAGTCTGATTCGGCCTTAAAGGATATCCTTCCCTCCCATTAGTCGGTCAAATTGACGGTTTACTACTGCACTTTTGAAAACACCACCGGGCACTACGCTTCCCCTCTGCCTTCCCTCAACGTGCTCAGCCGAGAGATCGTTACGACACGGATCAGCGGAGAATCATAAAAATTTCTCGCCGGAGAGAACTCGCTGCGTGCTCCCGCGCAACCGGAGTTAAGTCCGTTATCTCGACAGATGTATCCCCAGCCTCCTTCCCGCGCCCCGTAAAAACAAACGGCCGTGTATTATCTTATCGACACGCCGGCTATTAATAATATTACGCGCATTCATCTCGATATAACAATATTTGCGATGCCGCGAGCGTACGCGTATTTCACTACGCGCGCACGCGGTTCGTGTATTTATATCAATTTCAAGTCAAAGAGGCGCCGCGCGCTTTCGCTCTGGCCCGCCGCTTCGCGAGAGTGGCGGAGAGTGCTCGCCCCGCAAAGAGTAATATTTACAATATGGAGCAATAAAGCTTCGGCTTTATTCGGCCGGTGCCGAAAAATACAAAAAAAATATATATAATAAAATACGGAAAAAAAAGCGAGACTGCGAGACGCGGGCGCGCAATTTCCGGTGGTTACATTTAAAATTCGCGTAGCCGAGGATTGTTCTCCGATGTGTCTGCGGCGTAAGCGCGTCCGTCGCACACGTGCACTTCGCGCGAGGCGCGTTTCCCCCCCGGCCAGTCGGCAGCGACGACAATCGTGCGCTATTCCGCGCCGGCTGTCGTCGACAAACGCCTCTCGCCGCCGCGGCCGAGCTTCGGCCTCGCCGAGTATTTCCGGTTTCGCGTGTACAACATACTTGCCGCAACGCACTTGAATCCGCCCGAGCCTGGCCGGATTCTAGTGGAAATAACGACGCGTAGTCAGACACGTATCGGGTTCGAGTAGTTGCGGCTGACGTTATCGCCATAGTGTAACTATAATAGTAGGTCCACTCTCTGTCGGCCCCTTTGATCTTTGCGGTTCCGATCACGGTATTCCGCCATTGCTTTGGTCAGCAATCCAGTGGTATGTGTGCACGTGCGTGTGCGCGTGTGTGTGCGTACTCGTCGAAGCTACACTACCACACGTACAACTTTTCTCTCATTGGCTTGACCAAAATAATGGCGGATGCGCGGAAGGAATCGACGCAAAGCCGAACAAATGACGGAGTGGACCCGTAGACTTCTGTATACTACGAGACTGCTACCTTCGAGCTGAAAGACGGACGCCCACCGTAGCTACGAGACTAAAGAAATACAGCATTTCACGTGCTTGCCGAGTCCGGCCTACTGCTTCTCGTGCGCTCACTCGCCCAGACGTTTCTTTCTATTTATCGCTCGAAAACTATTGCGAATTTTACAAAATGGTACATAACTTTTCTCTTCAATTTAACCCGCTCTACCTGTATACGAGCGGATGGACACCTTATCCGTAACACCCTGTATACTACTAGACTGCTATCTTCGAGCTGTCTCTGTACTACTTTACCTACCTAACAAGACATGGAGGAACTCTTGCCTCACTTGTCACCTTGAAGGTAACAGTCTAGTTAGGCTGATGGCAGAGAACAATCCGTAAACGCTTAAGACTGTCTCATTGTCAGTCGTAGACGTAGGGCAAGGCAGAGAGAAACGTAAGTTGTGAAAGGCTATTGTATACGACTTACGTTTCTCTCTGCCTTGCCCTACGTCTACGACTACGTCAGTCTTAAGGGGATGCTGGAGTGATTCTG